GGAGGCCGAGGCGGGTGGATCACGAGGTCAAGAGATCGAGACCATCCTGGTCAACATGGTGAAACCCCATCTCTACTAAATATACAAAAAATTAGCTGGGCATGGTGGCGCGTGCCTGTAATCCCAGCTACTCGGGAGGCTGAGGCAGGAGAATTGCTTGAACCCAGGAGGCGGAGGTTGCGGTGAGCCGAGATCGCGCCATTGCACTCCAGCCTGGGTAACAAGAGCGAAACTCTGTCTCAAAAAAAAAAAAAAATTAAAAAGCTTCAGCTAGGCATGGTGGCTCATGCCTGTGATCCCAGCACTTTGGGAGGCTGAGGCAGGACGACGGCCTGAGGCCATGAGTTTGAGGTCAGCCCTGGCAATAGGCAAGACCCCATCTCTACAAAGAAAAAAAATTTTTTTTTTTTTTTGAGACGGAGTTTCGCTCTTGTTACTCAGGCTGGAGTGCAATGGTGCGATCTCGGCTCACCGCAACCTCCGCCTCCTGGGTTCAGGCGATTCTCCTGCCTCAGCCTCCCGAGTAGCTGGGATTACAGGCACGCGCCACCATGCCCAGCTAATTTTTTTTTGTATTTTTAGTAGAGACGGGGTTTCACCATGTTGGTCAGGATGGTCTCGATCTCTTGACCTCGTTTGTGATCCACCCGCCTCGGCCTCCCAAAGTGCTGGGATTACAGGTGTGAGCCACCGCGCCCGGCCAGAAAAATTTTTAAAAATTAGCCGGGCAAGGTGGTGCAGACCTGTAGTCCCACCACCTTGGGTGGGAGGATCCCTTGAGCTTAAGAGTTTGTGGCTCAAGTGAACTATGATCACACCACTGCAACCCAGTCTGAGTGACAGTGAGAAAAAAAAATTAAAAACTTTTGTTCTGCCCAATTCCCTGTTAAAAGAATGAAAAGACAAGTTATAGGTTAGAGGAGAGTATGTGTAAGCCACAGGTGTACAAGTTGCTGAGCTGTTAAGAGCGGGCTGCACAGCAGGAGGGGAGTGCTGGGTGAGTGAGCATTGCTGCCTGAGCTCCGCCTCCCGCATCAGATTCCCTGCTGTACAGGAGCCGCCCACTGTGAATGTGCGTGGGAGGGATCCGGACTGCATGCCCCCGATGACTGTTCGGTGTTTGGTGATCTGAGGTGGGACAGTTTCATGGGGAATCCACCCCACTCTGTCTGTGGAAAACCAGTCTTCCATGAAACCGGTCTCTGGTGCCAGAAAGGTGGGGGACTGCTGGTGTAAACCACACATCAAACAAAGGATGTGTATCTTTATGAGAATAACTTTTTTGTTGAGACAGGGTCTCACTGACTACAGGTCTGCCCCGCTGCAGCCAGCTCTTATTTCACAGTGCACGGTTCAGTGCCATTAAGTCCTCACACTGTTGTGTAACCATGATCACCACCTATCTCCAGAACTTTCTATCTTGCCAAACCAAAACTCAGTACCCATCTAATTCCTTATTTCTCCCTCCCCCACCCCGCTTCTGGCGTCCTTCATTCTACTTTCTGAATTTGACTATTCTGGGTACCTCATACAAGTTAATTCATATTGTATTTGTCTCTTTGTGTTTGGCCTAATTCACTTAGAATAATATCTTTGAAGTTCATCTGTGCTGGGAGGTATTTCTCACTTTTGTCACAGCAAAATGCTCCAGGCTCATCTGATACCGACTGTCCCTTCTCTGGAATCAGCAATTTCTTTAAGAAGCCCTGATTCCTTCAGTGAGGAATGGTATTCAGAAACCAGCATCTGGGCACCAGGTGTGTCAACTGCTACTCGGTTATCATTGCTTCCAGGTTCTTTTGGTGGACAAAGGAAGAAACTGTGTGTGTGTGTGTGTGTGTGTGTGTGTGTGTGTGTGTATGATATGTGTGTATAAAATATTCCAGAGTTTAAACTGATGCTTCCAACTTCAGTATCACACCCAAAAAGACATATAACGAATGTCCCAGTAGTGAGAAATACAATCAGGCCTGGCGTAGCAGCTCACACCTGTAATCCCAGCACTCTGGGACGCCGAGGTAGACTGATTGCTTGAGGTCAGGAGTTCCAGACCAGCCTGGTCAACATGGTGAAGCCTAAATACAAAAATACATTAAAATACAAACAAACAAATGAACAAAAAAAGCCAGGTGTGGTGGCCTGTAATGCCAGCTACTCAGGAGGCTGAGACACAAGAATCATTTGAACCTGGGAGGCAGAGGTTGCACTGAGCCGAGACTGTGCCACTGCACTCCAGCCTGGGTGTCAGAGAGAAACTCTCTCAAAAAAACCAAAACAAAACAATCCAGAACACTGGAAACAAGTAAACAAGGGGCAAAGAAGAGATAGGATACCTAGAGAAACAGAAGACAGAAAGGTGGGGCCGGGCACGGTGGCTCACTCCTGTAATCCCAGCACTCTGGGAGGCTGAGGCGGGTGGATCACGAGGTCAAGAGATCAAAACCATCCTGGTCAACATGGTGAAACCCCGTCTCTACTAAAAATACAAAAATTAGCTGGGCATGGTGGCGCGTGCCTGTAATCCCAGCTACTCAGGAGGCTGAGGCAGGAGAATTGCCTGAACCCAGGAGGCGGAGGTTGCGGTGAGTCACCGCACTCCAGCCTGGTGACAGAGTAAGACTTGGTCTCAAAAAGAAAAAAAACAAGGTGGTAACCAACTATATTGATAACCACATTAAATATAAATGGTTTAAATACTCTAAGAGTCAGAGATTGTCAGACTGGATAAAAAAAGACCCATTCCCATTTTCTCTCTTTTTTTTTTTTGAGATGGATTTTCGCTTGTTTCCCAGGCTGGAGTGCAATGGCACTATCTCAGCTCACCACAACCTCTGCCTCCTGGGTTCAAGCAATTCTCCTGCCTCAGCCTCCCAAGTAGCTGGGATTATAGGCACGTGCCACCACACCTGGCTAATTTTGTATTTTTAGTAGAGACAAGGTTTCTCCATGTTGGTCAGGCTGGTCTCGAACTCCCAACTTCAGGTGATCCACCTGACTTGGCCTCCCAAAGTTCTGGGATTACAGGCATGAGCCACCACTCCCGGCCATGAAATCCATTTTATTTTATGTTTTTGAGTCTCACTCTGTCACCCAGGCTGGAGTGCAGGAGCTTGATCTTGGCTCACCGCAACCTCTGCCTCCCAGGTTTCAGTGATTCTCCTGCCTCAGCCTCCCAGTTTGCTGGGATTACAGGCACACACCACCATGCCCAGCTAATTTTTGTATTTTTAGTAGAGACAAAGTTTCACCACGTTGATCCGGCTGGTCTCCAACTGCTGACCTCATGATCCACCCGCTTCAACCTCCCAAAGTTGAGATGCTGTAAAGACCAGCATTACAGGTGTGAGCCACTGTGCCCTGTAATTTTTGTATTTTTAGTACAGAAGGTGTTTTGCTATGTTGGCTAGGCTGGTCTTGAACTCCTAACAGGTGATCTGCCTGCCTCAGCCTCCCAAAGTGCTAGGATTGGAAGGCCTTAATAATTACCCAAATATGGGCTGAGAGAGGCAGGTAGATATAACTTAATCAGGCACACAGCTTTGACTTTGTGATTTCAGGTGGTTATCTTAGGTCCAGAGGGGCCAGGACGGAAACCCAGCTCAGGAAGGTCTGCCATGGGCAGAGCCCCCGCTCCGGGCACAGGTGCCCTCATCCTGTTCTAGCCATTTTCTGTTCTGGTCCAGGTCACAAAGCCACTTGTCCTTGGGCCAGCACAGACTGACTGCTGGAGGTGAGGATTACGTGACCCCAGCAGAGAGAATGGCCTGGACGCCTGCCCCAGCCCTTATCCGTCCCCAGCACTGCTGGGACTCCTGCTCTTCTAGACAGGTGAGGGTGGCTCCAGCCCATCCTGGCGTCAGCTGGCCTGGCTTCGCAGCCTGCACAGGACCAGCCTTATCAGGCCCCGAACCTGCTGGAGGCCCCGGTCTGACCCCTGGGAGACCGGATCCCTTCCTCAACATCCAGCCCCAGGGGTGCTTTGGGGCCTCAGCCATCGCCCATTCTCAGGCCTGCCGGCCTCCAGGCATCTGTCCCCTGTGGGACCCGGCCATCAAGTCCCACGGTGGCCAAGGGACACCGGCAGCTCTTCCCCCCGTCAGACCACCCCTTCTCACCACCGCCACCAAACCGTCAGGGCGTGAGGACGCACCTGGGGAGGCACTGGGCTCAGGGTCCCCCTCCAGGGGTGGGAGCACCTTTGAGAAACCATCTGGCCTGGAACAAATCCCGCCCTGCCTGTGGAATCCCAGAGTCCGCTGCTGTCCGCCCAGCCGAGGGCCAGCGCACCCGGCCGCGAGGTGGGGCGGGGTAGCCCACCCGTCAGAGGCCCGCCCTGGGTCAGGGCACACCCGAGCCCCAGCACGGGAGGCAGAAGCGGGGCGCCGCGATCCCCTTCCTGGAATTTTGCTGGAAACCCCGAGAGCGGGGCACGGCCTCCTTCAGCGGCCCGCCAGGGACCCCCAGGAGTGCGCTCGGACGGGACCACGCCCGACCCCACCTACGGCCGCCCACGCGCGAAGGTCTAATTCACACCGCCCTGCCCGTCACACTGTGCAGGTGCAGCAGTGAGACCCCAGGCGGCGAGTGACCTGTCCACGGCCACACAGCTGGCCTATGGCAGGGGGGAAGGCGGCGAGCCTCGGGCTCCGAGACCGCGCGCCCCGAGCTGGGCAACGGCCAGAGCCACGGCTAGCGCCGGCCGCAACCGACCCGCTGCGCTCCCGCCCCGCCGCCTCAGGTCGCGGCCGCCGCTGTTCCTCCCTTCCGGGGCTGCAAGACGCCGCTGAGCGCTGGGCACGCAAGCACGCAGGGGGCGGGGCGTCGGCCCGGGGGCGGGGCCAGGCCGGCGTAGACGGCGCACGGCGGCCCCAGCGGGCGGTGCGGAGGCGGGACGCCTAGAGGCCCCGCCCACTTTGTCGCGCGGCGCGGCGCGGCTGAGGGCCGGCGTGGAGGCGGAGGCGGCTGACGGACGGGCTCGCGGCGGCGGCGGCGGGGTGCGGGCGGCCAATGAGGGCGGCCGGAGGGGGCGGGGCGGCGGCCGCGGTTTTGTTCCGCCGGGGCCGGGGCGCGTCGCCCTAAGCGGGGCCTGGGCGGCCGGCCCTCCTCTCGCTCCGCCGGCCCGCGGCCGCGCTCAGGTACCGAGCCCGGGCGGAGCGCGCCGCCGCCGCCTCCTCTGCTGTGCGCGCCGCCCACGCCTCAGCGCGCCGCCGGCTGCGGGTGTTTCCCGCGGCACGCGGAGGGCGCGGGCCCTGCGCTCCGGGCTGGGCGCGTGGATGACCCCCGGGCCCGAGCCCCCGCGGTCCGTGCCCCTGTCCGGGCGACTTCCCCGCACGAGGCGAGGCCCGGCCTGGTGGCGGCGCGCCGTGGTTCGGTGGCGCGAGAGTCGCAGCGGTAAACGGGGCCTTGGGGCGTCCCGAGAGGAGCCCGGACGCGGGAGGCCGGACTTGCCCGGAGACCCGAGGAGGGGACTCGGGCGGACTCCGAAGCCGCTTTTTCTGCGTGGCCTGGAGGGTAAAGTCGCCGGAATTTCCGGTGCCCACCCCGCACTCGGCGCCCACGCGCCGCCGCCCCACTCTAGCGGGGAGCGTTCCTCCTCGGTCGGAGCGCGGTCGCGGAGCCCCGTTCCCACGCAGCCCGTGTTAGTGAGTTTCCCACGGCATCCTCGGTGCCGCTTCTTGGCTGAGCTTCCGTAACTTTAAAGCACTTTCCGTGTTAAACTCAAACTGGACTCGCCCTTGACGCTCCTCTGCTGACCTCCCAGTGCTGAGAACTTCTTAAGATGGATGAGTTTGGCTTCCAGAATGTGCTGTGGCCGGTGCCAGCGAGTGGGCTGTCTCCGTGGCTCGCTGCCCGCCAGCCGCAGCCCCGGCTCCTTGTTCCGTCTCTCCCCGTCGCTGCTACACTCGACTGGTCCCAGAAACAGAAATGAAAAGAATGTGCGTCCGTGTCACAGCATTTCAGAAATGTAACCTGAGCTGATGGATGCTGCTTTAGAGACCCTGCTGTGGCCCGAGCCTGTCCCTGTCGCTCGGCAGAGTGGGTGCTGGAAGGGAGGTGCAGCCTTGCAGCCTGAAGGCAGGAAGCCTGTCCCTGTCGCTCGGCAGAGTGGGTGCTAGAAGGGAGGTGCAGCCTTGCAGCAGCCTTGCAGCCTGAAGGCAGGAAGCCTGTCCCTGTCGCTCGGCAGAGTGGGTGCTGGAAGGGAGGTGCAGCCTTGCAGCCTGAAGGCAGGAAGCCGGGAATTGAATGAATGTTACCCCGAGCCTGTCCCTGTTGCTCGGCAGAGTAGGTGCTAGAAGGGAGGTGCAGCCTTGCAGCCTGAAGGCAGGAAGCCGGGAATTGAATGAATGTTACCCCGAGCCTGTCCCTGTTGCTCGGCAGAGTGGGTGCTAGAAGGGAGGTGCAGCCTTGCAGCCTGAAGGCAGGAAGCCGGGAATTGAATGAATGTTACCCCGAGCCTGTCCCTGTTGCTCGGCAGAGTGGGTGCTGGAAGGGAGGTGCAGCCTTGCAGCCTGAAGGCAGGAAGCCGGGAATTGAATGTTACCCCCAGAGCGCAAACCCGCGTTGTTTGGAAACAGTGGCTTTTCATTAAGTTGGGTTAGCGCAGGGAAGCCAGGTGGCGGGTCTTCGGACAGTTCCAGTTTCCCTGGCCGGCGCCATTGTCCCCCTCCTGAGTCCTCTGTACGCTGGGCACCAGGCCTTCTGTGGCCCCGTGCTGTCCCTTGGCCTTGGAGCTCAGTTCTGCAGCTTCGTCCCTCCGCTGTGCTCTGTGTTGCCGCCGTGAGGGTCGCCCTGGTCGAGGCCGTGGTAATGGTCCGTCCCTTTGGATGGATCCTTGCATTTCTTGACTTAGGTTGGACGTGGGGACCACAGGACGTTTCTCTTGCCACTTGAAGTATGTAAGTGCGGATGCCAAAGGAATTTTTTCTTTGTTTTTGGCAGATGCGTGGAGGCCTTTCTAGTCATGGAGGTACTTGCTCGCATGCACTGATGTGCACAGGAAGCAGAAGTGGGAAGAGGCTCTAAGCTGAGAGGACACATTTCAGTGGGTAGATAGAAGAACGAAGCAGACAGGGATTTTTCGCCAGTGCACTGGGAACACTGAACGTGTCTTTTCAGCCGGGCGCGGTGGTTGAGGCCTATAATCCCAGCACTTTGGGAGGCCGAGGAGGGCGGATTACAGGGTCAGGAGTTTGAGATCAGCCTGGCCAGCATGGGGAAACCCTGTTTTTAGTACAAATATAAAAGCCAGGTGTGGCGGCACATGTCTGTAATCCCAGCTACTCAGGAGGCTGGGGCAGGAGAATTGCTTGAATCCGGGAGGTGGAGGTTGCAGTGAGCCTAGATCACACCACTGCACTCCAGCCTGGGTGACAGGATGAGATTCTGTCTCATAGTAAAAGAAAAGAAAGAAAATCCAGATTTTTGTGTCTGTGTCCTCGGCCTCCCACAGGAGGCTCTCAGGGGTGTTCACCTTGATTGCTGGGTTCGGACACCTGCCAGGCATCCCTGCTGTTACTGTTTATCCTTAGTGGCTGACTAGCATCTTTTGAGGCTGTGAGTGCTGTTTCTCGCCATGCGTTCTTCACAGATCCAGCAGCATGGATGCATCTGGCCAGAGATTGTTGTGTTGGGGTGTTGGTCAGGTGGTGGTTTTAAAGCACGTTCCTCATTCCCTCTGCACCCAGTAGTGGCTCCCCACTGCCCTGTGAGGAGGTGCTTTCCTGCCCCGCCCACCTCACCTGGGTTCCTGGGTTCCCGAGTCCCTGGGTCTGTGAGTTCTTGGGTCCTTGGGTTCCTGGGTCACTCGGTCCCTGGGTCTGTGGGTTCCTGGGTCCATGGGTTCCTAAGAATGTGAGTTCCTGGGTTCCTGGGTCTGTGGGTCCATGGGTTCATGAGTTCCTGGGTTTGTGGGTTCCTAGGTTTGTGGGTTCCTGGGTCTGTGGGATTTCCTGGGTTCCTGGATCCATGGGTCTGTGTGTTCTGGGTCCGTGGGTTCCTGGGTTCCTGGGTTCCTGGGGTTTGTGGGTTCCCAGGTTCCTGGGTTCCTATGTTAGTGGATTCTTGGGTTCCTATGTTTGTGGGTTCCTGGGTTCCTATGTATGTTTGTGGGTTCCCGGGTTCCTGGGTTCCTATGTTAGTTTGTGGGTTCCTGGGTTCCTATGTTAGTTTGTGGGTTCCTGGGTTCCTATGTTAGTTTGTGGGTTCCTGGGTTCCTATGTTAGTTTGTGGGTTCCTGGGTTCCTATGTTAGTTTGTGGGTTCCTGGGTTCCTATGTTAGTTTGTGGGTTCCTGGGTTCCTGCATTTGCAGCCACTCCCTTTGCTCTGTGTCACCTGTAGGCTGCTGAGGAGCCATCCTCACTTCCTGTACCTTGACGGGTTCCAGCTCTTTTCTTTTCCCCAGCCCTGAAATCAGTCCCGTTTACCATTTCTACACAGACTATGAGTGTGAGGCCTGTTTTTTTCTTTTCTTTTTTCTTTTTTTTAAGACAGAGTCTTGCTCTGTTGCCACGCTGGAGTGCAGTGGTGCGATCTTGGCTCACTGCAGCCTCTGCCTCCCAAGTTCGAGCAGTTCTCCTGCCTCAGCCTCCTGAGTAGCGGGGATTACAGGCATGCACCACCACACCCAGCTAATTTTTGTATTTTTTAGTAGACATGGGGTTTCACCGTGTTGGCCAGGATGGTCTTGATCTCTTGACCTTGTGATCTGCCTGCCTCGGTCTCCCAAAATGCTGGGATTACAGGCATGAGCCACCGTGCCTGGACTAAATAAGTAGTAATTTCTCCCCCCTTTTTTTTTTTAAAGTAGAGACCGGGTTTCACCCTTTTGGTCAGGATGGTCTCGATCTCTTGACCTCATGATCTGCCTGCCTTCTTCTCCCAAAATGCTGGGATTACAGGCGTGAGACACCGTGCCCAGTGCGGCCTGTTTTTAAGATAAAATCCTAGTTCTTATTTTTTCAAGTTGTATTGTGGCTGCTGTCGCCTTTCTGGGGTTGTATGTGTGTTTGTATGTGTGCTGAAACCAGGAGGTTTCAGAGGGCAGGTGAGCAAGCCCCTCGTGGTGCATGGTTGAAGGAAGCTGGCCCCTTTTCTTGCAGGAGTGGGTGGTGGGATTATGGAGGGAGGCCAGCTTGTCAGCCATAGAGCCCCATCCTGTGAGGGCTCAGAAGCTGGGACAGAGGTGAGTCTGGGCCATGACTGTGAGCTGGCACCCCAGTTGCTGTGGCTTTTCCCCAGCTGACATCCGGCCAGTATTGGGTATGCAGTGTGGCTGGCTCTGATCTGTGCTGCTTAGTTTGAGACAGTTTGAATGGAGCCCCTGCTGTGGATAGACCTTCTTCTGAGGCATCACAGTGGGCCTGGCTGGCCCTGGCCTGGCGCAGGGCACCCCTCTTGGAGTCCAGGGTTCTTAGCTGTGGGCTGGAGGTGATAGTGGTGGCTGCCAAGGGTGGTGGGAGTGGTCAGCACTGAGTGTGCAGTTTCAGATCCAGTGAGCCAGGCAGGCACAGCCTTTAGCTGATGTGGTGTGTCCCCTGGCCTGGAGCAGCCCCATGGGTGGATGGCACCTGTCAGGACCTGTGCCTGGGTTCGATTGGCCCAGTACCCTGGGCCTGGCAGCCTCGGGGCTGTACCTGCTGACGGGAAGGCCCCGAGCCAGGCCAGGTGGCCCGCTGTGCATGAAGCTGCTGTGTTGGTGGTGGCACCTTTGCCCTGCCCCTTGTTCAGGAAGATGCTGGCTTTTGGGCTCTGGGGAAGTGCCTGTTGGTTCCTGTTGAGAGCAGGTGTACATTTTAAGCATGTAACGTGGGTATTACCCATGTTGAAACCTTTCCAGCGCTGGCAGAAATGTGCATGTGAGTCTCCTCTGGCCTCTTACATTACTGGTTGGTGCCGTGAACTTGGATGCTGCCTGCCTTCCTAGTGTGCCTTTCATGGCCAGGCAGTCCTTCTGATGGGATGGCTCACGTGGCTCCCACATGCCAAGCTTTTGGGGCAGATGCTCATGAGTGGTGCTGCCACGAGCATCTCACCTGGGTTCAAAGAACGAAGCAAACATATTTTTTCCCAGTGGGCTGGGAACACTGGAAATGGTTTTTAGGCAGGCGCGGTGGCTCAGGCCTGTAATCCCAGCACTTTGGGAGGCCGAGGAGGGCGGATCACAGGGTCAGGAGTTGGAGACCAGCCTGACCAGCAGGGTTGCCTTTGTTGGTGAAGGTGCAGCCTGGGCTTTAGCATCCTTGCCGAGGGGCAGCCTGTGGGACCCAGGAGACAGGCGGGAAGCCAGAGCCAGGCAGCAGCTGAGGAAGAACACCCTGGAGGTTGTGTGGAGGTGCTGTCACTGCGGTCTTCATTCCCAGGCACTTTTCTTTTTCTCTGGAGTTCCTTTTTAGGGGTTTCCTGGTCTTCATGGAGGTGCCATATCACTCTGAGGGCAGAGGCCGCTGCCAGGGAAGGTCTCGCCTTCCCCCTGGTGCTCTTGTCCAAGTTGCTGGTTTTGCTTGTTTGCCCTACCTCGTCTGTTTTGGCGTCTGTTGGGTCTGAACTAGGTGGCCATGGCAGCTGCTCACCCCCAACAGTGGGACCCTGAGAAGGGTCGAAGCTGGGGCAGGTGGGGACACGCTGGGCGCCTTGACCAGTTAGTGTCTGTTGGAAGCAGTCCCAGGGCTGCCTTGCAGCCTCTGCCTGCAGTATAGTTGGGGCTGCCCATGCCTGGGGCTGGAGCGCTTAGGGCCTGAAAGACCCTCTGAATTCTCGCCCTTCCTCAACTGGCCCCTTGCTGTCAGCAAGCCGGGTGCAGACCCTGGCAGGCTCCCTGTGCCCCAGCTTCAGTGCAGAGCGCTTGCCCAGCTGGCTGGTGTGGGGGTGGGGGTGGTTTTGGCCACTTGGAGCAGAAGGGGGTGGGTAGTCAGGGTTTCTGCATTCCTGGCTTGATACTGGCTTTCCAGCAGCTTCCCAGCTTCCAGATGTCCTTGCCATTGTCTCCTGTCCTGTTTTCTCTTTTGGAGCAGGGGCCTGGGGTGGCCTTTTTTCAATGGAGGCTTCCGGAGGGTGGGTCTGACATGCTTTTGCCTTTAACCAGAAGACCACTGTGATTAGATTTTGCGGAACAGAACTCGCATGGTAGTTTTGAAAATGGGAGGGAGGGTGTGAGGCGGGATTTCAAAAATACTTTATACACTGGGACTCCACACGTGACAGCAACATCAGGGAAATGGTTTTGCGTGATTTCTCTCTTTTGAGAAACAGATACAAATCCTGAAGAGCCCGTGGGTGTGGACCGTTCATCAGTAAAGTGGAGACGTGACCTTGAGATCTGGCTCGGACCTTGCAGTGCCGGGGCCCTCTCAAGTCTGATGTTCCAGGACTTCAGTGCCTGTTGGTGTGGACGGAGGACACAGGGCCCCAACCATGGTCACACTCATCACGGAGAAGCTGCAAAGCCAGAGCCTGGATGACCTCACCTGCAAGGCCGAGGCTGGCCCGGTAAGCAGCTGTGGGTGGTTCGAGGCTGGGTGCTGCTCACCTGCACTGTCACAGGGGAATGGCCACCCTGGGAGGTGGAGGCCAGGGCTAAGTTCTCAGGGGCTTGGGGGGCTCTGCTGGCCAGGGATGGGGGTGTCTGGTGCACATGTGGGCCCCAGAGCCCCAAGTGCAGGTGTGCCTGTTACCGTCCAGTCAAGCAGCAGCACGCGTCCCCAGTGGACTCCCTGTCCCTCCCCTCCTGTCCCCCCTGCCAAGGGAGCCTCTGTCTTGGATTTCATCACCATGTTAGCTTCTTCGGGTTCGGACTTCCTGCCGGTGGGTTGATTCTCCTGCAGCCGTGGTGAGTGGACTTCAGATGTACCACCTGCAGGGCCTCCCACCCTGGTTAGATGGCAGATCCAGAAGGAGGTGGCTGATGTCTAGCCGGGAGGGTCTTGCCAGGCCCTCAGAGCCAGCAGGGGTTCTTGGAGTGCCTGCCAGTCCTGTCCTGGCTTGGATGTGGCTCTGGAGGCATGGGCACACTGCATTTGTAACCTCTTGCAAGTTACGGAAATGAGAGGGCAGTGGGAAAACTGTGAAGTCTCAGGCCTCTGGACCCATCTTCACCTCAGGGGGTTCCAGTGAGAGTCTGAGGGTCCCAGCTGAAGCCGCTCCTCCTGAGAGTTGGCGAGTGTGGGTGCTGGGCTGTGGGAGGTGGCCTGTGGCCCAAACCTTTGCACTGCTTGTGGGGCCTGGTGCTCAGGGCCACTGTGACCAAGGTGACTGTGGCAGCGCTGGCCGTGTCCTACAGCCAGTACCTTTCCAGCTGTCAGGCTGAGTGTGGGAGGTGGCCGAGGCGGGGAAGGCAGTGCCTGCCTGGTGTCTCAGAGACTTGCTGGCTGCAGAGCTGTGTTCTTTCCAGATACCATGGCTGCTTCCCATCTTTTCTTTTCTTTTTTTTCTGGAAGCAGTCCTGCTCTGTTGTCCACGTTGGACCGTAGTTGCACCATCTCAGCTCACTGCAACCTCCGCCTCCTGAGTTCAAGTGATTCTCGTGCCTCAGCCTCCTGAGTAGCTGGGATTATAGGTGCCCACCACACCCGGCTAAATTTTTGCATTTATTTATTTAGTTTTTGAGATAGAGTCTCGCTCTGTCACCCAGGGTGGAGTGCAGTTGTGTGATCTCGGCTCACAGCCACCTCCGCCTCCCGGGTTCAAGTGACTCTCCTGCTTCAGCCTCCTGAGTAGCTGGGGTTACAGGCCCTTATTTTTGTATTTTTAGTAGAGATAGGGTTTTACCATGTTGCTCAGTCTGGTCTTGAATTCTTGACCTCGCGATCCGCCTGCTTTGGCCTCCCAAAGTGCTGGGATTACAGGTGTGAGCCACTGTGCCCAGCATACATTTTGTGTTTTTAGTAGAGATGGGATTTCACCATATTGGCCAGGCTGGTCTTGAGCTCCTGGCTTTCAGTGATCCGCCCGCCTCGGCCTCCCAAAGTGTTGGGATTACAGGTGTGAGGCACTGCACTCGGCCCCATTTTTCCTTTTGATTAAAAGGAGAAAATATTTATTTATTTAGAGACAGAGTCTCACTCTGTCACCGAGGCTGGAGTGCTGTGGCACGATCTCGGCTCACTGCACCCTCCGCCTCCTGGGTTCAAGTGATTCTCTTGCCTCAGCCTCCTGAGTAGCTGGGACTGTAGGCACCCACCACTACGCCTGGCTAACTGAGAAAACATTTTTAGGGCCAGGCCCATTGGCTCATGCCTGTAATCTCAGCACTTTGGGAGGCCAAGGTAGGCAGATCACCTGAGGTCAGGAGTTTGAGACCAGCCTGGCCAACATGGAGAAACCTGTCTCTACTAAAAATATAAAATTAGTTGAGCGTGGTGGTGTGTGCCTGTAATCCCAGCAACTTGGGAGGCTGAGGCAGAGGTGGAGGTCGCAGTGAGCTGAGATCGTGTCATTACACTCCATCCTTGGCAAAAAGAGGGAAACTCCATCTCAAAAAAAAAAAAGAAAAACAAAAACAACAAAAAAGAGAAAACACTTTTATTTTTATTCTTTTTTTTCTTTTTCTTTTTTTTTTTTTTTCAAGACAGGGTTTCACCATGTTGGTCAGGCCTGTCCTGAACTCCTGACCTCAGGTGATCTGCCCGCCTGGGCCTCTAAAGTGCTTGGATTACAGGCGTGAGCCATCACGCCTGGCCGAGAAAACATTTTTAAGAGCAAGACCAAAGGATACAGAGCAGCACATGTCTATCAGATGGCTGCGTGCCTCTGAGGACACTTTTGGGAAGTGGACATCAGCTAGGGCCTGGGCGGCTTTCCAGGGAGGTGGCTGTGCAGCATGCCTGCCGGGCCTGGGAGGTGTCTGCACAGATGTCCTGGTGTGGGGTGACCCACAGGCTCCCATGTCCTCCGCGCTTTAGGTGACCACTCTTCACCTCTCTTTTTTTCAGCTTTTATTTTAGATATGGGGGTACATGTGCAGATTTGTCACTTGGCTTGTGAGCATAGTCCCTAGTAAGTAGCTCTTCAGCCTTTGCCTCCTCCCTCCCTCCCATTCTTTACCCCTTTATGGAGCATTTGTCCACTGACAGAAGGCAGTGCGGGCAGCTCCTTGGTCAGCCTTAGCCTTAGGACAGGAGCCTGGGACTCCTGCAGGGTGAGTGGTCATAAGGGTCCCGTCACAGCCTGCTCCTGCTCCTGCTCCTACGGACTCAACTGGCTCTGTTAGTGGTCATGGCGGCAGTGCCCTCATTAATGGAATTAAGTGCCCTTAAGAAAGAGGCCCCAGAGAGGAAGCCAGCCCCTTCAACCATGCATAGATACAAGGGGAAGGGCCATCTGTGAACCAGGAGGTGGCTTTACCAGACACTGAATCTGCTAGTCCCTTGACTTGGACTTCCTGCCTCCAGGACTGTATGGAATAAGTGTTTTTGATAAGCCCCCACCTGAGCCTGTGGGACCTGGCTGGCCGGCCTGTCCTGGCTCCCGGGGACCCCGACTCTGTTTGCCCGCTATACCCATGTTCCCTGTGGCCAGCACCACTGGGAGTAGCTGCTGCCCCTGGTGTGTCTTTGCACAGAATTGGTCAAATCGGGGGCTTGGGGGCCTGTGGCTCCTTTGAGCTGCCCTTGGGAGCCGTCTTGCCCGATGGGAAGGTCCTTTCCTTGCTGGACATCTCTCTGCGGCAGTGTGGGGCTGGGTGCTGTTCATATGGCCCTGGGGATGGGCTGCTGTGCGGAGCAGGAAGAGAGTGAGGTCCTGGTGCTTGCTGGGGGAGGCCCAGGCCTGGGAGGATCTACAGCAACAAGGGTCTGTGTCGTGAACCTCTAGCAGAGCCACCTCTCCTCATTTCCCGGGGTGGGAGAACCTGGAGGTCATCTGGTTCCTGTGCCGCAGCAGGCCCTTTCCCCATGGTGTGGCCAGGCGTCCACAGCTCCACACCGCCGTGCTGGCTGAGGCGGGACCCTGTGTGTAGGCGGCCTGTCTGTGGATGGGTGGCTGTTTTTCGGGTTACAGACCCAACTCTCATTCCCTTTATGGGAAGCAACGAAGGATTTCCTTTTCATTTCATCATGTTTGGAAATGTTATCACAGGGGGCAATGCTGGGGGACTTAGGAGGTAACTGAGAGGTTCTGAGGTGTGGCAGAGAAGCAGAGGGGCTGCTGTGCCCAGACCCTGCCGGACAGCCATGTCCTCCACACAGGTGGCCTTCCGCATTCTCACAGACCAGGAGGCTCTGGGAGGCTGGGGAGCTTGCTTGGGGCCCATCCTTTGCAGGGCGCTGCGCCCTGCCTGCACGGGAGAGCATGTGGGAGCAGACACAGAGTGGCCCCCAAGCCATGGCTTACCAAGCAGCTCCCTGGCACTTCATGGCGTTTCCCTTGTTGCCTCCCTGCAGACCCTCAAGCTGCCACCATGCCCAGTGGCTTTCCTGCTGTGAGGGAGAGGACCCTGCCCTCTGGACTGCCCCCAAGGCCGCCCAAAGGCAGGAGGGCCTGAGCTTCAGGAGCAGCAACAGGACACATGCCTGTGGCTTGGACCCAAAATATCCATTTACTGTTATAGCTCCTTTATAAAGAAAAAAAGGTTAAAAATATCCATTTACACAGTTGAATTTTGTTAGGTCTTAATAAAACTGTGCTTTTTATTTTATTTTTTGAGACGGAGTTTCGCTCTTACTGCCCAGGCTGGAGTTCAATGGCCCAGTATTGGCTCACTGCAACCTCTGCCTCCCGGGTTCAAGCAATTCTCCTGCCTCAGCCTCCCAAGTAGCTGGGATTACAGGCACGTGCCACCATGCCCAGCTCATTTTGTATTTTTAGTAGAGACGGGGTTTCTCCATGTTGGTCAGGCTGGTCTCAAACTCCTGACTTCAGGTGATCCACCCACCTCAGCCTCCCAAAGTGCTGGAATTACAGGTGCGAGCCACTGTGATCGGCGCATTTTATTTTAATAACTAGAAAGAAAACGCGGGGAAAACAGAACTTGCTGCAGTGAAGAGAACGCAGGGTTGTTATTGCTGAATTCTCACGTGTCAGTAACAGTATTGAAACGTCTCTTCTCCGTCACTTTCAGTATTCTGCTGAAACCCTGAAAAAGAGTGGTCGTCTCTTTGCTTTGGAGCTCCGTGGTGAGTGCTTTAGGAGCTGTGGCCGGAGGCGTGAGCAGGGTTGAGCCAGGCTCCTGGCTGGGAGGGTCCTGGACGCAGAACATGAGCCTGATCTTCAGAAGCCTAGGAAAGCATTCATGTGCCCTACGCGGGGGCTTGGATGGTCCCTGCTGCCGTCCTCCCATGGCTGGGCCAGTGGTCAGGAGTAGTCTGTGAGCAGGACAGCCTGTGTAGGGTGTGAGCCCAGCCAGGTCTCTCCCTCCTCAGCTGGTGGCGCCCAGGGGTCTGCTACGCCCTTGCTGGAAGGCCCACCCTGTGGCCACTAAAAGAATAGAATGGTGTGGCTGGCATGGCTTCAGTGTTAGCTGGAGGGTGCTGTGGCATACTGGGTGGCACACCCGCTGTCCATGCCCTGGAGGCCATGGCTCTGGGGCGTCCTGGCCAGGGAAGCCACAGCTGTGAGATGCCTGGCCGCAGAGGAGGGAAGTGTTCTGAGGATGCAGGAAGGTTTTAGCAAAGCGGTCGGGAGAGCAGAGCCTTGTGGTTGTTTCAGGGAGGCACTGGCCGGGAGGCTGAGACCTCCTTCAGACACGGCATCCCCTTAAAAAGTGAGCCGAGTCCCGCAGCCAACCTGGTGAGAGCAGGCGGGGCTGTTGCCCACTCTGTGCCATGGACATCTCTGAGAAGCACGCCTGGGCGATGGCAGTGGCTCTGCCCTTGGTGGCTCTGCCGGACCGTTTGCCAGGATGGCTGTTACCCCATGCAGTGGGAAGAGGGTGGGCCTGCCCTGTGGCTCACCCGTCTCTTCCCCTGCTTCTTTGTGTCTTTTCTGTAGACCAGAGTCCCTGGAAGGTCTTATGTGGAGGACGGCCTGTTGGGAGCCAGGCAGCCGCAGGCCCTGATTTCTCCTTCCTGCTGGGCCTGTCTGCTGCGCACACCATGGGTCTCCAGTGGCGGCCAGAGTCCCCGGGCCCAGGCGCGGGCCTGGGTGCAGCCAGCACCATGGTCCCCAGTGAAGGCACAGGGCCGTCCACGGCGCCACCCACCAAGCGTCATTGCCGGTCCCTGTCAGAACCTGAGGAGCTGGTGCGCTGCCGGTCCCCCTGGCGTCCCAGCGGCTCCAAGGTCTGGACTCCAGTCTCCAAGAGGCGGTGCAACAGTGGTGGGAGCGCCACGCTGCAGGGAAGCCCGGGTGCCGTTCTGCCGAGGAGTGCCCTGTGGTTGGCTGGCCCCACCTCACCTGCCACGCCCCGGCCGTCCTCGGCCAGCAGCGGCTTCGTGGACAGCAGTGAGGGCAGCGTAGGCTCAGGCCCACCCTGGTGTTCCACGGAGCCCTGCTTGCTCTCCGCGAGGCGCCGCCTGTCTCTCTCACAGGAGCAACTTGCAGGCGCGGGCACGCCCCTGCCCTCAGCCAGCAGCAGCCCGACGTCCACACCTGAGCTGGGCCGGCCCCGTGGGCTGCTCCGGTGCCGCTCACAGCCATGTGTGCTCAGTGGGAAGAGGAGCCGGCGCAAACGGAGGCGCGAGGAGGACGCCAGGTGGATGCGCCCATCCTTGGACTTCCTGAAAATGACACGGGTGAGGCTTTCTTGTTCTGAGGACTCAGGGAGGGCAGGTCTGAACACGATAGTGCTGCGGTAAGGCTGGCCGATTCCCTGGGATGCGGCTGCTACCATCTGGCTGGCTTCTGGACTGGGAGGAAAGGAGTGAGGAGAGCCATTCAGAGTGGGGTGGAGTGATCAGAGCACCCAGGTCACCCCACCTGCCCCGCACAGGCCCAGGGTGGCCGGCTAGGCTCGTGGGGTGTGGCCTGGGGGAAGCAGCAGGAGCAGATCTGTGCGTGTCTGGCCTAGCTGAGCCACCTACCTCGGCTGCTGGGGAGCCCCCTGCCCAGCTTTTTCTGGGGTGATGTCCCAGGAAGTGAGAGGCTATCCTGGGAGCCCCACTCGAGGCAGAGCCTGGGGTCCTCTCTTGTGAGAGCCAGTGGGTGCCCATGCTGCACCTCAGAGCCCAGCAGCGCCTTTGCACCTCGGTACTCCACAGGCACCTCCTTCGGAAACTGTCAGGATATGTGAGAGAGCCTGCACCCACCTGAAGATTCTCAGTGCCGCCCACCTGCCCACACCCACCCGCATCACAGGCCGTGCTTGGCACAGAGTTCAGGAAGGAGACAGGACTGAGGAGGTGTCCTGAGGTCTCGCTCTGTGTTACCAAGGGGGTGTGTTCACCTCCATGTGCTCAGAGACCTCTGGGACCCTGGCATCGCTCAGGGAGCTTTGGGCAGTGGCAGAAATTAACAGGACTTTCTGACGCCAACTCTTGAGTGCAGGCCTGAGTGGGGCTGTGGCTGAGGTGGGACGGGGTCAGTGTCAGCCTCTCTCTTCAGTAACCTGTGGCCTTGACAGCCCCCGACCTCTTGCCCCCAGGCCCATCCTCCGGGCCTCAGGCCTGCCCGTACCCTGCCTCTGAGGGCCATGGATGTGGCAGAGCTGTGCACAGGGTGTGAGTGGGGCGTCTGTCCCTCGGACGTGTGCTGTGCTGTTTTACTCTGGTGGGTTGGGCCTGGGCATCCCGTGGGGACTGGAGAAGGGGCAAAGACGACCTAGATCCTCCTCAACCTGGCCACAGCTTAGAGAGAGCAGTGTGGCTGGCATGCCGGGTGGGATTCCCAGCTTCCTCTAGGATGCTGGTGCTTGGTCACGCCAAGGGTGGTGTGAGCATGGCCTGTTCTGATCAGTGGATTCTCCAGACGATTCTCCCTGTGGGCTTGAGGTGAGTAGAAAACCCAGACTTCCCTGCTCTGAAGCTTTTCTGCAGAGAGCAGGGTTTAGAGAAGAAGCCTCTCGTCTTTTGCTGTGAGAGATGGGCTGACCTGGGGAAGCCACCACATGCTGGAAAGCTGGTGGCAAGCTTTGGACACACCGGGCTGTTCCTGCTTGCCAGGGCTCTGGGTGTGCACGGCATGGGTTTCAGGACCTGCCGGGATCAGGAGGGATAGGAACAAAGGAGGGAGCTGCGGGCTCTGCACGTTGCTGGGCGGGGAAGGGATGGTGCCAGGGGCGCATTGATGACTGGGCAACATCAGCGCGCCCTCGAGACGACCCTAGGTTTCTCAGATGCCTGGGGGCAGACTGATGGGAGGGGGTGAGTGGTGATTGAGGACCCTTGGGAGACGCTGCGTGGGGCTCAATCTGGAGATGGGGCACCCCCGGTAGAGTGCAAGGTGTGGGTAGAGGCAAGGACTCTCCAGACCCAGGACAAGGGCTTGTGGGCACCCGGGGTGTGTGGTGTGTGGGGGAGACAGGTGAGAGGAGGTCAGGGCTGTCATCCAATGCCGTGTGGTGTGTGTGTATGTGTGTGGGCACGTGTGATATGTGCTCTGGGTGTGGTATGTGCTGTGTGGTGTGTATGATATGTGTGTGTGGTATGTGTGGTGTGTGGTGTGTGTGTGGAGTGTGTGGTATGCATGGTATGTGTGTGTGGTATGTATGTGGGGTATTGTGTGGTGTGTGGCATCTGTGTTGTGTGTGTGGTATGTGATATGTGGTGTGTAAGTGGTAGATGTGATGTATGTGTGTGACATCTATGTGTGGTGTGTGATATGTGTGTGTGAGACGTGTGGTGTGTGGTCTGTGGTAGTGTGTGGTATGTGTAATGTGTGTATGTGGTGTGTGGGTGGTATGTATGGTGTGTGTGTGGTATGTGTGATGTGTGGTGTGTGGTGTGTATGGTGGGTGTGTATGGTCATATCGTGTGTGTGGGGTGTGTGTGATGTGTGTGGTATGTGATGTGTGGTCTGTGTGGTGGGTGTGTGTGATGTGTGGTCTGTGTGGTGTAGTCTGTGTATGGTTGTGTGGTGTGTGATTTCTGTGGTGTGTGTGTCTGGTACATGGGTGGATGCCTGGTTTCTCTCTGGGAGGAGAAACCCCCGCTGTGTGGGAACTGGATTCTTGACCCCAGGACTGGGGCTGTGCGGGGCATCCATCTCTCAGATCCGTGTAGCCCCGGCTTTGGGCGCCTTGCTGAGCTGGCCTGTCCCTGTCCACGCGAGCAGCAATCGCCCGGGCTGCTGTCCCGTCCTCTCGGTGTTTGTCCGATCGAGCCCTCCTTCCTCTTGACCCCGTTTCTTCGGTCTCAGGCCTTCATACCCCGCTTGGCTACCAGGACATCATCCTAGTGGCTTTGTTGTCTCTACTTTTGTCACCCTCAACCTTTTTTTTTTTTTTTTTTTTTGAGATGGAATTTCGTTCTTTTTGCCCAGGCTTGAGTTCAACTATACAATCTTGGCTCACTGAAACTTCTGCCCCCCGGGTTCAAGCGATTCTCCTCCCTCAGCCTCTCGAGTAGTCGAGATTACAGGTGCCCGCCACTATCCTGGCTGATTTTGTATTCTTTTTTTTTGAGACAGACTTTCGCTCTTGTTACCCAGGCTGGAGTGCAATGGCGCGATCTCGGCTTACTGCAACCTCTGCCTCCTGGGTTTAGGCACTTCTCCTGCCTCAGCCTCCTGAGTAGCTGGGATTACAGGCACGCGCCACCATGCCCAGCTAATTTTTTGTATTTTTAGTAGAGACGGGGTTTCACCATGTTGACCAGGATGGTCTCGATCTCTTGACCTCGTGATCCACCCGCCCCGGCCTCCCAAAGTGCTGGGATTACAGGCGTGAGCCACTGCGCCTGGCAATTTTTGTATTTTTATTAGAGATGGGGTTTCATCATGTTGTCCAGTCTGGTCTTGAACTCCTGGCCTCAGGTGATCCACCTGCCTTGGCCTCCCGAGGTGCGGGGTTATAGGTTCGAGCCCCCGGGCCTGGCCCACCCTCAGTCTTGATACCACTGGCAGAGTGAACTCTCTACAATGAGCACTAGTCCTCTCCCTGGACAAGCAAACCCGAGACCATCCAGGCTTAAAACTCCACGTCTATGTTAAAAACAAAACCGAACCGGCCGGGCACAGTGGCCCACACCTATAATCCCAGCACTTTGGGAGGCTTAGGCTAGCAGATCACTTGAGGGAAGAAGTCTGAGACCAGCCTGGCTAACATGGTGAAACCCTGTTTCTACAAAAATACAAAAATTTGTGTGCACCTATAGTGGTGGTGTGCACCTGTAGTCCCAGCTACTTGGGAGACTGAGGCAGGAGAATCGCTTGAACCTCGGAGGTGGAGGTTGCAGTGAGCTGAGAGCACACCACTGCACTCCAGCCTGGGTGACAGCAAGACTGTGTCTCAAAACGAAAACAAAACAAAAAACCAAAACCCAAACCATGCCTGTGCCCACCTCACAGTCAGACACCGGGCCGTGCCACCTCACAGTCAGACACCGGCCCCGTGCCACCTCACAGACACTGGTCCGTGCCACCTCACAGTCAGACACCGGCCCCATGCCACCTCACAGTCAGACACTGGCCCGTGCCACCTCACAGTCAGACCCGGCCCGTGCCACCTCACAGTCAGACCCGGCCCGTGCCACCTCACAGTCAGACACTGGCCAGTGCCCACCTCACAGTCAGACACCGGCCCGTGCCACCTCACAGACACCGGGCCATGCCACCTCACAGTCAGACACCGGCCAGTGCCCACCTCACGGTCAGACACCGGCCAGTGCCCACCTCACAGTCAGACACCGGGCCGTGCCACCTCACAGTCAGACACCGGGCCGTGCCACCTCACAGTCAGACACCGGCCCGTGCCACCTCACAGTCAGACACCGGCCCGTGCCACCTCAGGTCTGGGAGGCCAGTGGTGAGGCTCTGCTCAGGCCTCCCTGGGACTGCAGTCAGCCAGACTCTCGTTACCTGGAGGTGAAACAGAGTTTTGCTCTTTTTGCCCAGGTCGGGCAAGTTTACCCACGTGGCTTTTGGCAGGAGGCCATAGTTCTTCGCCACATGGGCCTCTCTGAGGGGCAGCCTGAGCGTGTTCACGACGTGGCAGCTGGATTTCCCATAGTGGGTGACCCCAGTGGGCACGAGCGGGCCCTACAGAGCCCTGTGTGACCTGGTCCTCACCAGCCGAGGTTTTGTCTGCTCCTTGACTCTGCCCAGCCCTTACCCAGTGGGAGGAGGATCGGGCTTCACTTTTTGAAGGGAGTGATTTTAAAACCTCTTTCTCCGTAAGGAGTGCGGTCAGGAACAGTGCTTGTGGAATGGTGTTGGTGTTGACCTTGGCTCTGGTGTCCCCCCGGCCCTTGTGCTAGAGTTTGGTTGGCCACAGGCAGGTGGTGAGGTGGGTACAGAGGGCCAGGAGGAGGTGTGGCGTTACATGGTGAGCGTAGCTACACATACCTTACGGTGACTGTGTGTGTGTGTGTGTGTGTGTGTGTGCAGAATCACTAGATTTTGGTGTTTTAAGAAAGGTGCTGATGTCTTGTGATTGGGAGTTAGTGCACTGCCCTGTGAGGGCTGAAACTCCCGTTTTCTGCTCGTCGCTGGTGACGTGCACACAAGCTGTTTTCTTATTTATTTATTTATTTTTTGAGACGGAGTTTCGCTCTTGTTACCCAGGCTGGAGTGCAATGGCGTGATCTCGGCTCACCGCAACCTCCGCCTCCTGGGTTCAGGCAATTCTCCTGCCTCAGCC